AGCACACATGGCCCTCCAAGGTCTCCTAGATGACAAATGTGGTCTCCAAACTTTTCACTTGTCTATCCCTGCCTTATAACAATATTATACCTGGGGCACTGTGTGGATATTAAATGACTGCTGCTAGGTGGCCATTACTATTGTTGCAGCTTCCAAGAGAAATATAGCTGGAGTGACAAGAGATCACATGTGACAGTGCTACTGATGAGCCTTGACCAAAAGTAACTGTTGGGGGGTTTTTTCTCCCCAAGAATAATATTGTACAAAATGCTCAGATCTTTGGGGAACAATTCTTGCTTGACTACACCAGGACTGGAAAGAAAAGCCACCACATTTCTATTGAACTCAGCTTCAGCAATGAATAAACAAGTCCTTTCAGATGGATTCCAATTTCTCCTACCATGGGAAGAAGGATGCACTAGAACTTGGATCAATATAAGACAGTGTTCTAAGGGAATTATTTTAAGCTCCTTTGCGATCAGATGACAAACTTAACTATCTTCAAGGAATAGATTCAATGCGTCAAATTGGAAAAATCTAAATCAAGCCATTGAAAGATCCATTTACCTTATGGAAAAATGAAGAAAATGCAAAAAGGGCCTCCAGTTATGGGCACCAATCCCATTGACATTTTATGTGTTTGTGTGCACACTTCAAAGTCGCCTGTTGACTTATGGTGACCCCCAAGAATTTCATAGGGTGTTCTTAATCACTTTCCAGCTCCTTTGTTTTGAAATAAAACCTACAACACTTGGCATTCATTAGTGGTGTCCCATTCACATTCTCACCAAGGTTGACCCCTGATTAGCTTACAAGACTACACAGGGTCTGGTGACTTTATAGTATTTCAGTCATTATTTTATATACCAAGCATTTCACCAATCATGTGAATGCAATAATGCATCCTATGTAGACCACAAATTTACATAAGAAAGAAAAGTTGCATTTGTTCCAAAAAATCTTTTCCAGAAGTTGGTAAGGACATTACAAATAATGTTGAAAAATGAGCTCAAGAAAAGCTAATGGTATAAGGGCTATGGCATGGAAATTAATTGATTACTCCAAAAACAGAGTGATCAATTGAACTGCTTTATATTGAACTGTACCGTTTGTTTATTCTTCCCAGTATCATCTTGGGCAAGGTTCTCCTCTAACCTTGCCCAACCTTCATATGTGTGTTAGACTATGACCTCAGTCCAAGAGGGGATAAATGTGTACTTGGACCTCAGTCCAAGAGGGGATAAATGTGTACACTACATTGAGCTACATATCCTCTCCCCAACTAACTGCCAACTCCCTGAAGCCATCCCAACTGCCCATTCCATGATTAATGGAAGCAAGCAGGATTAGAGATGTGGGGATATGGCCCCACACTCAAATAAACAATCATTACAGAAGTGCTGAGACAGTTAGAGGACCCTGATAGATTTCAATCCTGAAGTCATGATTGGCAATGAGCATGTAGCCTGATACATCTCTAATTCTGCCGTATTTCCTTATTTCAATGTAGTGTGAAATAGACATGTGGGGTGGTCTCATGGGCTTTACAGCCAGTCTTTGGGCATTGCAGAGGGTGGGAGGTAATACCAATTCCTGTGTTAGCCTAAAAAGGAGATCCATACTGTAAGGGACAATTTCACATGCTTATATTCCTAACAGAATCCCCACATATAACTCTCATAATCTCCATCAGCACAGTAATAGTTGATGCTGTTTGCGTAATCCAACATGTGCAGTTGGCATCAGATGGGGAAGTCTGGTCTACTCTAAGCATCCTCAACCCCTGGCTTTTTTTAAGATGATGCTAAATGTAATTGGCATAGTCTACTTAACTTGCAGAATGACAAAGGATTGATTGGTTTGCTATCCTGGAGAAAGTTAAAGATAAAACTACTGTTCATTTAACAAAGGAATTATTTAAAAGCTAACCCTGAAGTAGAAGTAGAACAATAACCCATTAAAAGTGCACCCAGAACCATATCAACAATGCACATGAAAGTCTGTGTACCACTAACAAAGACACACTTTACAGAAAGTGGTTTACTGTCTGCTGCTCTATTTAGACCTGCTCCACTCTTGCACATTTTTCTGCATTTGGTTAACCAGATTTTATCTTAGAGGTTCATGTGCACGTTTGTGCGCTTTCTAGTTACCTGTCAACATATGGAGATCCCATGAATTTCATAGGGTTTCATAGGTTAAAAAATAATTTTCAGAGTGAGCACCTCTCCCAGTATGTACCTGTTCCAGTATTAAGATCAGATTATGCATATACAGTAGAGTCTCACTTATCCAACATAAATGGGCTGGCAGAATGTTGGATAAGCGAAAATGTTGGATAATAAGGAGGGATTAAGGAAAACCCTATTAAACCTCAAATTATCTTATGATTTTACAAATTAAGCACCAAAACATCATGCTTTACAACAAATGGACAGAAAAAGCAGTTAAGTACATGGTAACATTATGTAGTAGTTATTTTATTTACGAATTTAGCACCAAAACATTGCAATGTATTGACCAAGACAGTTTTAAATGGTGTATTTTAATATTGTGATAAATGTTTTTAATGTTTATGTATGCTTATATGAATTCTTGCCCTGGCATTGAATGTTTGCTGTATATATGCTGTGCTCCGCCCTGAGTCCCCTTCGGGATTAGAAGAGCGAAATATAAATGTTTTAAATAAATAAAGAAGCAAACAAACAACTGTGCATCCTGGCCGGAGGAAGACTGTGTTGGATAATACAGAACATTGGATGAGCGAAGGCTGGATAAGCGAGATGCTACTGTATTTGCTATTCAGATCCAACATTGGGAGCAATAAATTACATGGAAGATTAAGCAAGAACCTCTCACCTCTAGTTATGTTGCTGGGTATGTGCAATGACTTTTCATGGTGCAAATGTTATCATTTGCATGAAACTGGATTACGATTTTAGTCAGGAGATTAATTGGATTGTTTGTTGATATATGTATTGTGCACTATGTTTTTATGCTTTTAAACTGTATACTGTCGATTGTTATATTTTGTTGTAAACCGCGTTGAGTCGCCGGCTAGGCTGAGAAACAGCGGTATACAAGTATAGCAAATAAATAAATAAATAAATTTAGGGACAAAGTTAAAACCTCACTAACTATCCACACTTTGGGGTGGACACGTATTGTTTTCATCCCACAGGGGACTCAGAGTGGAGCACAACATATATACAGCAAACATTCAATGCCGGGACATAAAACCATAAATATATACAACATTAAAATCGCTTATATTCACATTAAAAGTTGCTTTAAAACCATCTCAGGACATCATTTTGCCTCATTGCACTGCCCCAAAGGCTTGGCCCCACAGCCAGGTCTTCACCATCCTTCTGATGCACTTTGCCCCCCATATAAGTATCTCTAAAATGAGGTGTGACTTAGAATTGCAGGTGTTTTTTATACTGGTAAAAAACTTACAGATGACTCATAGGAACAACATGAAGGGAGAGAAATCTAACCCTAGAAAGGTAAACTTACTCTTGAAAGAGTTATCAAGGGGGTAAGGGGTCTCCACTGAAGCTTTATCACTAATCCTTGTTTCCACAACAAGCCAATTTTTTTTTTCAAAATTCAATTTTCACAGGGACAGAAAGTGAAGTGAAATCTCCTGAACACGAGTACAGACAACAAAACAAACATCATGGGAGTGTTAAACCTTCCTTATACAATCTAAAGCATGTATGTATCCATGTATGTATGTACGTATGTGTGAGAGTGTGACTAGAGTTACACTTCAAAAATGTACCTATTCTGACACATACAAATTCAACTTAAAAACAAGCCTACAAAGCCTATCTTGTTTGTAACTTGGGGACTGCAGATAGATAGATAGATAGATAGATAGATAGATAGATAGATAGATAGATAGATAGATAGGAATTTTTTTTCTGTTGCTGGTACTGAAATTAGTGTGCATCATACAATTAATACAATTTTAGAAATAAAGAAATATACTACTTCATCATACTAAAGAATGAATGAATCCACTTGCAGAATTCTGGGGTTTGTAGTTTAGTGAGGCTGTTAAAGGCTCCTCCCTAAACTACAAATTTTGCAGGAGGCAGCAGCCTGATTTAGCAGGAGGCAGCAGCCTGATTTAAAGTGGATTCATTATCTAGTGTAGCAAATTATGACTCTCCATCTTTTCGTGTTTAACACTAAAAATCTGTATTCACCAAGATCCGCACCTGCAGACACTTATAAAATCACAGGACTACAGAGAGCTACACCACATGAGATATATAGTCTCATCTGCATTGTATTCATTGTGTACCGACAGGAAATTATCTACCAATATTTTCACATGAATAATAAAGGCACATTTATTTATGACAGATATTGAATAAGCTTTTAAAAATGTATTTTTAAAAGTCAAATCTTTAGTGATGGACCTATAACAGCTATATGGACCTATAACAGTCATAAACTATTTAAGTCAAGTCGAATTTTATTTGCATCAAGGCAAATTCCGTTATCATTATCGTAAATACAGTACACATCAGAACATACAGCCAGCATAAAAAATTTAGCAATACTACAATAATCTTATTTTCAAAATATAGTTCTGGTACTAAAACAGACATAAATAGTATAATCAAAGGGTTTTAACATGCAGATAATATATTAATTCAGTTCAGCTAATCAGTATTTCAACACTGAATACATTCCAGCTGTTTGGGATTATGATACTTTTTTTTTACTCATTCTTCTTGTAACTGATATTTGAATCAGTTAAAATTTCAAAATAACATTTTAACACCCATGTTTAGGGGCAAACAACGTCCTATTTTAAGTTTAAAGAAAAAAGTGAAAAGAGAAGGAAAGTCAAAGCTCTGCTTAATAAATACACACATATATATATATATATATATATATATATATATATATATATATATTGTGTGTGTGTGTGTATTCACTTATTTATGGACTGAGCTAATCTTAAAGCATAGTTAACTTACCCTCACAAGACTTGGAGCAACACATGAACATGGTATCTTCACATGCTTCAGGCACTTCTCATGAGACATAAAGTTGCAAACTGTGGAAAATAAAGTATTGTGTAAATTTATCTTTTTACACAGAAAATGTAATCCAAATGACATCATATATCCTGGATTTAATTATGTAATGAGCAAAATTTTATTTATTTATTTATTTCCTGCATTTGTACCCCGCCCTTCTCATCCCCGAGGGGGGATTCAGGGCAGTCACACAGCAAGCACCATTTGGTGCCATCACAGTCATAAAAACATTCAACAAATTCATTAAAAAAGACATTTAATAAAACAGTACTTCCCTTTCCATGTATACAATCCAGAATTATTAAGGAGAATAATTGGGTGTCATTTAACATATGTACGTGTGTAAGTCAATGTTATGTATACATTGAGAACAGGCTTTGGCCAAAAATTATGGATTTTTATATACCTGTGGACCTGTTGAAGGTCATTCCACTGGGGGGGGGGGGAGGCTTCCCTATCAGCAAATTTGTCCTGTCTACCAATACCAACCCTCTTCCTCTACAAACATGCAGTCACTCATTCTCATCTTGCTCACTCAAACAAAAGTAMACGCATATGTATACATATGTCTGTGTGTCTAGATATGTACTGTAGACACAAGAATAGGAGCTGCTATTCTTTTTCTTCCAGTATATATGTCATGCATCTAGTATCCACATAAAGGAAGGATAGAAGGGGGGGGGGGGATGAATAGAGAAAGGGGAATGAGGTGCAAATGTTGAATATAAAGAAAAAGAGGAAGAGCATCAGAGATGAAGGTCCTGCTATTTCTTCCCTGAGACTAAGATGTTATATGAAAATTGCCAAGGCTGGGGAAGGAGGGAGAAGAGGTGGGTATGCCAGCACATATTGAAAGGTAGGAGAGGGTGGTAAGCTTCAGTGTAGTGGGGGTGGGAGATTGGAGTTGTGAGGGAGGAAGGGGAACTGAAAATAAACAAAAAAAGGGGAGACTAAAAAATAGATGAGAAAATTCAGAACGGCAAATTCATTTGCTGGAAACAGGGCACCTCAGATCGCAGGCAAGTTAGTGAATCTGTCTATCCTCCCCTTTCTTCGGTCACTCCTTCCTACAGTGATTCCTTTTCTAGCCAGCTGCATGCAACAGTCACAATTGTGTGACACAGTAAATAACAGCAACTAGCTTTCCTGAAACAGGGACAAGAAGGCATCAGCAATCAGAAAAAGCAAATTAACCCAGTGGCAGCAAGCAAGGGAGGGCAGTCCACTTCTCCCACTCATGGCACCCTAACGATGATGTCTCCCTTCTTCCTTGTCATAGGCTTCATGCTCATACTCCTATTCCATGTCTTCTGCTGGATATGGTGGTGGCACACTCCTCTCCTTTCACACCTGGATGACAGGATGGCCATGGAAGCCTGAGGGCTAGTGACAGTGGGCACTGCATCCTTTAGTCATAGTGGCAACAGATCTGGAGCAGCCCTACGGTGTCACTGGCAGCCTGGGAGCCAAAGGAAAGGAATGGTGCATGAGGAGAGAGTGGTTGAGGAAGGAGTGGTGGTGGTGGCTAATGCCGCAATAATGAATGAGATGTGAGGAAACCTAGGCAAGGGGGGAAGCAAGACTGACATTCCATTTGCTTACTCATGAATAAAATGATTTGAGTGGCCTAGAAGTAAAGGCATAATGCACGGGAGAAGCTCCATGTGGGCAACACCATGAATCTCAATTGGATTGGGGGATTTTGAAGGTTGCAGCAGTGGCAATCATTTTGGTATAAACCCCCTACATACACTCTGCATGCCTCCTAGTGTCACTACTGCCCCCCAGGCATTCAAAAAGGGAAGAAATAATGTTGCAGGACATACAACACTTACACTGACCCATGTATAAGTTGACCAAAGTTTTTGGGTTGACTTTTTGTTAAAAAAAATCAACGTATACATGGTAATCTGTGTATTTTATTTGACATTTTATTGCTTCATTTTCTTTTTTCTCCCTTACAGGAAAACACAGAAAATTTGTAGTACAGTATTCTACATAAAGGGTCTCTTTCCCCAATCACATTAGTTTTCCTTTACTGAACCATAACCAGAGCTGTACAAAATATTCCACCTGTAGTCGCACTACAATTTTTATCAGGACATTAAGATATTATATTTTCCCCCAGACCTCTTTCTGAACAAATATAATGTGGCATATCCTTTTCTGCAGTTATATCCCACCCACTGTTATCTATAAAGTTCTAACAGGAGCCTCCCACACAGAGATAATAGAAGTGAAGCAGTCTGAAACACTGTACTGTGCTACACTGAGAAATATTTTCAGGATAGTGAAAACCCACACTGTGAAGAACTCCAGACGAAGCAAATGGGCCACAAAATGGCAAACTAACTTGAATGTCAATGAGTGGAAAGGAGCATATATTGAGGCCAAACTTTCTGTTGTTAGGTGTATACTGAAAGGGTTTCAATTAGTAGTGATTAACCAGGGAAAATATTTCGGTGTGGCAAGGATTAGCCTAGTGAGAACTTTAATCCAGTGAAAGGTGCCTGCATAAAAGGATTGTGACTACTCGATAATTACATTACGTGCATTCTAGCATTTTAACTGCTGTTATATTTAAAATGTTCAAGTATACAAGACCTATGCTCATATTTCCCTTCATTCAAAACATATCAACATACTGTCAAAAGTCAGCTCTTCCCATTTTAAATACTGCCTGTGGCTCAATTCCACACATAATTACTGAACTTAGTAAGGCTCAATTTCATTTTTAATTGTACTTTGATAGGCAACACCAACGTTAAAGAGGAAATGGCTGTGTCACTGATGATAAAGATTCAGCATCCATTTTAAAAGACTTGCTGTCTTTTCATTATGTGCTCCTCAATTTGCTTGGAGTTAAATTGCTCTCATTTCTCCCCATTGTCCTCGCAGCAGCTGATCAAAGATGACCTTGAAGTTATCAGCTCTTATTGTTTGTAGCTTCTAAACTGAAGCATCTTGGAAGTTTCCTTATTGCTCACCCACGCATTTTTTCAAGTCATCTCGATTACATGTCTGTGTTAGAAGCTAAATTAACACCTACCAATATGATACTGTTACATTCTGCTAAGTGATGTTAAACTGATGATAACCTGAAAGTGCTGTAATCAAATAGTATGAAGTGAAAAGAGTTAAATCCACAACACAAAAACACAAAATGTTTTTGTTATCTTCTACTTTGCTGTAATGTTTCCATTCACATTAGAGCTAACTTATTTTTTATAAAGGCAATTATTGGCTGGGACAGAAGTAATTTTTTTTATTAAGATCTTCATATTTCCTGATATACTATGCCAAAGCAATTCTACAGTTATTAAAAACAAAGATTTTATTTTTGTGTGACGTCTACCAAAACACAGCCTTTAGAAAAACATTTTGGGAAAATTAATCCACCAGCTGGGAAGGATCCTTGCTTTGTAAGGTCCTAAAATCCTAAGGTCTGCTTTCTCCCATATGGCCCGGCAGCTGAGATCCTTGGCCTAACCCTCACCCATCTTCTGTGACTATCCAGTAGCAAACAAATCTTTTCTCTCCAGTGGTTGATTGCAATACATTACCCATAAAATGACATATGCTGGTGTTATTTCTTCTATATGTAATAGAGAAAAGAATACTGAGAAATCTTCCCACATTATTGATTAAAATATTTTAAATGTTTTAAACCTTTGTTTTTTTTTAAAGAGAGGGTACAAGACAAGTTTCCAAGCCACTCATCTAGGAAGCAATGGTAGTTAAGTTTTCTTAGCCATGCAAAATCAAATTTCAGATATTTGTATACAATGCCTCCAAGTCACCTATCTGCTTATAGCAGTGGTTCCTAACCCGTGCTCCGTGGACTACCAGTGGTGCGCAAGAACTACAATAGGGTCCGTGGCCTCACTGTTACTACAAGAGTGACTGTTCTTGAGAAACCCTCTTATAGTGCCAAGGCTGACTACCCACGAAAGCCACGACAACAAGCCTCCTGACTGCTGCTTCTACTCCTCTTCCCTCCTTCATTTTTAGGCCTGTTCCTGGGGCTATTTGAGGTGCTGATTCAGAAAATTGCACTGGATAGACCACATCAGCTCTAGATTATTAAATATGGTTTTCTCTGGGCGAGCAGATGGTGACTACTGGATGGCATATGTTCTGTATGAGAAAGTAGAGCCGATGTGATCTATCCAATGCAATTTTCTGAATCAGCACCCCAAATAACCAAACCGAATCAAAAGTTGACCAAAACCCTTTTGCTAATAATGATGGAGAGTGGTCCATGGTCAAAGTGGTCCCTGGTCAAGTGGTCCATGGTCAAAAAAAGTTTGGGAACCACTGGCTAATGGCAATGTCATGAATTCAGAGGGGTTTCTTAGGCAAGGAATCCACATAAGTAGTTTTGCCAGTCCTTTCTTCTGAACCATAGCTAGAGCACATGGCATTCACTGGAAATCTCCCATACAACTATTCATGCAAAGCAGAGACATGATGTGCCCTCAAGCCCCCAAGTGCAGTGTCTGAGCCCCCCAAAGTTTCCAAATGTCCTTTTTTAAAAATCCAGGTTGGTTTCAGGAGTTTCTTTTGCCCCAAAACTGCCGACAATATACTGAAAACATAGTGATTTGATTCTCCTGACCTACACCCCAATCTTCTCAGAATACAAAAGAAATCTAAAGTCCAAATAAAAAGCCAAATTGTCATCTGGAAATCATGTCATGCCAATTTGGCTGCACCTAAATGCACCCGTACAATCCACCAGAGTGGGAAAATGCAGTGTAATTCAGTCATGTGAGTTTAATTTATTAACCCTGAAGACATTTAAAAACAATGCTTTGAAAGGAAAAAAATATATACACTTTGGATAGATTACATTAAATCACGCCTTAGTAGACGGCATTTTCAAATCTATAGAGCTCATTAAATGCCATATGTGACCTTTTAGATATTTGCTGTTTTTAGTATACAAATAAATGATCAACAAAGGCGTTGACTCATTCTTGCATTTAAGAGGGAAAGTGTACCTTAGTACATGATA